TATAATTTTATCTTTTCTTATTTTTAAAATAAATTTAAAATATTTGATTTTTAAGATCATCTAGTCTAAAAAATAAAGAAATTTGACATAATTTTTAAAAAAATACCAAAAAATGGAATGAACCTAATTAAAAAAACTAAAAAAAATCAACTCCTAAAAAAAGAGTAACTGAGTTTAAACTTGATGGGCTTAAAATTATGTTAAATAATAATAATTCATCAGATATTAATTCATTATGATTGTCATCATATTTTAGTAATTCATCAAATAGTTACTCAAAATTACGATTCATTGTGTTAATCATTCGAAATTCAATAAAATAATGTCATGACAAAAAAAATGATTACGCAGACACTTGTGTATTTGGTATCCAGTATGTCTTTTTCAATTCACATGCACATAAATGATACTTTCCCTCCATCTGTTAAAAATAAAAATAAAAATGGTGGGTGTTGTTTAGGCTTTGTTTGGGAAGCAAAAATTGAGGCTTTTTTTAGTTATTTTAGTTACAAAAAATAAAATAATTTTTTTAATTTAATAAGATAAAATATCACATCAAACCTATAATTATTAATTCTTTCTCTCACAAAAAAATTAAAAAAGCCTAAAGCCTTTCCCAAACTAGGCTTTTTAATCTCAGGTTAAAATAGCTAAAAAAAAAATCAAAAAGTCAAAAAACCAACTCACTTACGAAATGAACCCTTAGTTTGTGTTTTGAAATAAATTTTTAGAAAAAAAATTTAAGAAGAGAGTTTAATTTTTTTTTTTTTAGTTTATGTGGTTGTATATTTTAAAAATAGTTTACGAGTTTAGAATGATTTGATATTTTATTATAGTTGAGTAGGTGTGTGTGAAAGAAAAAATAATTAAGAATGAGAGAGGAGACAAAAAAATAATTAATTAATGTATAAAAGAGAAAATAATTTTAAATTTTTTAAAAAAATTTAAACCAAACAAAATTTTAAAAACTTTCCGATACTTTCCCATTCGCATGAACGTACGAATATGAATGAGGCCACTAGATGCTTTGAATCTAATTACTTTATTTTTTTTCTAAGGTTGATTTTTAATCGTATGATGGTCCCATTCCTATATTTTTTAGATTTGTTGAAACAAAAGTTTCAAAACTTTAGTATTTTTCAAATATCTAATTTAATTTTTCTGTTACAATTATTAACATTCTTTATGACATATTAAGGCATCATTTGAAAACATTACTTTTCAATTTAAAAGTCAAAAAGTCACTAAAAAAATCAAAAAATCAACAATTTATACAAAAAAGTCAAAAAATCATTTTTTATACTTTTTACACATCTTTTCGTAAAAAATTAAAAAATCATCTCAAACACCTTGCTTGTTTCCACTTTTCAAAAAGCACTTTTCAGAAAATTCTACTTATTTTTCGTATTTTTTTGTTTTTACTGAATTTTTTTAATATTTTAAGTAATTTTTTTATTTTTTAGACGCACCTAACATAAATACACCTAAAAAGTAAAAAAATTGTAATTTTTTTTAAAAATTCACTAAATACCAAAAATATAAAAAAATACAAAAATTCAGTATATTTTTTTATATTTTTATGTATTTATTACTTTTTTAAAATATTTTTTCATAAATTTTTTACTTTTTAGATACATCTAAGTAAGGTGCATCTAAAAAAGTAAAAAAAATGTTTAAAATTTAAAAAATATTCACTAAAAATAAAAAACACGAAAATCAAAAAAGTCAATTTTCAAAAAACTTAATTTAGAAAACTCAAATCAAACACGCTAATTAGTTTTTTTACATCATATTTTAGTCAAAAAATTTAAAAATTACTAAAAAAGTTTGTTTCCAAACGAGACCTAAATGCAAGTATAATTTGATTAGGGATCTATTGTGGTGCTTTGGTGGAGGTTTTTACTGATTTTTTCAAAAAATTTGAATCATTTATATTGTAAAATTTGTTAAGTAAATTATCTATATAAAAAATAAATTAATTGGACTTTTATAATTTTGAAAAAATTATTTATAAGTCCTATTAGGGAGACTTATGCTACATATGGTCTTACTAAAAAATTTATGTTCCCATAAGTCCTGTGAGAAATTTGTTAACACATTTACCCTCAATATTAGTTGTTAATATCATAAATAATAGTAAAACCATATATAAGAAATTGAATTTTACCATAGATCATATCTATATAAATGTAACGTAACGTACATAAACGTAACGTGACAATTACGATCTATGGTAACATATAGGAAATTGCATGTTACCATAGATCATATCTACATAAACGTAACGTAACGTCACACCTACATAAACGTAACGTAACACCTATAAGAAATTGAATGTTGCCATAGATCATATCTACATAAACGTAACGTAACGTGACACCTACATAAACGTAACGTAACACTTATGATCTATGACAACATTCAATTTCCTATATAGATCATAGATCATATTTATATGAAACGTAACGTGACATTAACATAAACCAGTAACATTTTCACATTCAATTTAAAAAAATAAAAACGCATTAAGTTTGCGAAACGTAACGTGACACGTTACGTTACGTTTATGTAGGTGTCACGTTACGTTACATTTATATAGGTGTCACGTTACGCTACGTTTTGTTGGATAATGTCTCAATGGGACCACATAATTAAATGTGGTGTTATCATTTATAAGAAGCCTACAATTTAAGTGATTCAATTTAGTTAATAGGCTTAAGGGTATATGTGTTATGGACCTAATGTGTAGATACTAGTTGTATAATTTCTATTTCTATGAGGGGCAGAAATAGAAATTAAAACATATTGGTTAAAGTTGGTTTTCATTCCTTTTGAACTTCCACAACCTTTCAGTTTTGAAAACCAATTACAACCTTTAAAAGGTTATGGCCCCTATTCCTTCCCAAGTGGAAAAATAAGAACACTGCCATTTTTCTTTCTAAATCCTCTCAAGGAGAAACATAAGGCACCAAATGGGAAAGGATTAGAAGGCTATAACATAATCAATAACAAAGAGTTCATTGATAATCACGCTTCCGTTTAACCGTTCATCAATGGATTCAAGTATGTCATTTTGTCTTGATTTCTTGATAATACACATGGTAAATGATCCAAAGTGTAAGGTTTATGTTCTGAAATTTATATTGACACGTTTATCTAAGTGTCACGCCACGTTACGTTTACGTAGGATCTTGTGGAATACATTCCTATCTAAATAGGTCTTGAAACTCAATAAAAAATTACACAGGACTTAACCTATCATAAGTATCTAAAAAAAGACTTATAAATAAGTCTCCCAAAAATTTTATAAGGAGAGTACATTTGTTTTGTTGTTGTTTTTTTTTTTTTTAAAAAAGAAAAGCAATTAACATGAAAAAAAATCCACCAAAACACACAGGAGCCTGCTATGAGTCTATGACCTTGGTTCCACTGATTTCATGAGACTATCTTGGCAAAGTTTCATTGCAGTCATGATTTTGTGAGACTTACTTTTTTATTTTATATATATATATATATATTTTATTATTGTTCACAATTAAAGCCTAGTTTTTTTTCTAAAAGAAGAAATAGACCATTGACCGCAGGTCCATCTGTTTGGCAAAGTTGATCTAGGTCCTTTTCCAACTTCTTCCCAACGACAACGGTTCATAACTCTATTGATGTGTTTGCTCGAACGATTTGGGAAGGGATTTAAAAATAAAAAGAGAAAAAATGTGTGAAATTAAGTTTAAGTTTGGCATATATAAAATAATTTATCTTTTTTTCATTACATCACCTCTCTACTTTTTTGCACATCTTTTCTTAAAAAGACAAAAAATATACTTATTTAGATCATTCTAAACAACCCCTAAATGAAATATAAATATATTTTATTTTCATTTCACCTAACTTTTCTCTTTCTAAATTCCCCTCAAAACTCTCAACCAAATACAACGTAAGGGTCGGTATTGAGTCAAGTCAAATGATGACCATGTTACACGAGGGTCTTCAAATTTGAGATTTTTATTAAAAAAAAAAAAAACCTTTATGATTTGGGTTAATCAATTTCATGTAAGGGATAAGAGGGCGAATGTGACATTTTAATTTTAAAAAAATTAATGACATCAACAAATTCCATCTGGGTTCCTTGTAATAGTAAACTAATTGTTATGCAACTTTCAAATATGGAGAAACTGGTATAATTATGAAAAATTTATAAGATTAATTATAATTTTGTCATATCTCCAAAAAAATGTCATTGTAATTTATGCTATATTATTATTTTGTACATGGCATGTGTTAGCTGCTGATCGAGAATTATGAGAATCGTATTTAAATGGAATGAAATCCCTCATTTTGAACATAATTACAAGTTTGTGCATCATTTTTAAATAAAACCTTTTTTATTATTATATTTAAGGGGATTTCATTTTTTATTTTTTATGTTTTTGTGTAAAGAGATCATCACCTCTTTGTGTTTTGTAGGGCTGAGGATTCACCATTTACAATATTTTCTTGAATTAAGACCAGGTTTATTTCAACATAGAACAAGATTCTTAATTTATACACACACCACACAGAATGATTAGTACTCTCCCCATATTATACATGCTTGCATATTCTCATACCCTATTTATTTTCTAATGGATAAATTATACAAATATTCCTTATAATTTATATGATACATTAATTTGGTTCATATTATTTTAATTTGCTTGATTTTGTTCTTAATTTAAGGGACTGTGTTATTTTAGTCCAAAAAATAAATGTTGTTAAGTTTGGTGGATGGAAAGTCAAGCAATGTGTCAATTTGATCCTTGTAATTTACATAATATGTCAATTTGGTCCCTGTCAAAATCGAACATATTAAAACAACAGGGATCAAATTGACACATTCTATAAATTACAGGAACCAAATTGACACATTGTGTAAACTAAAGTAACCAAATTGACACATTGTATAAACTTTCCGTCCACCAAACTTAACAACAGTTATTTATTGGACTAAAATGACACAATTTGTTAATTTAAGGGGCAAAATTGAGCAAATTAAAATAACAAAAACCAAATTGACACATCGTATAAATTACAAGGACCATTTACATAATTTACCTTTTTCTAATTAAGACGAATATTTTACTTTTTAGCCATTAAATTGACTTTTATAAACAAAGCACCCCCAAACTCTTCTCAAAGTCTTTAAACTTCAAACTCCCAGTACCCTCCTCTCTCTGTGTATATATATATGTGTGTGTTATTAGACTGGATTGAGTTCTGATGATCTGGATCCCGGTGTTCCTGATAACTTCTTCTCGTTCTTAGCTCTCTGCAATTGATAAAAAATATGGATGTAAATTCCATTAATAGGATAATTATTATAAATCACGAGTTTGAATCTCATAAAACTCTTAACACTCTCATGCAATTCTAAAGTCATATTTAATTGCCGGATTAAGTTGACTGAGATTATACTGAGACGTGTCTACTAGATTTAAATGCAAGGAAATTAAAAATAAAGAAATAAATAATTAAGAGCAAAGAAGGAAGGGATGTTACGAGAGAAAGTTGAATGTTTTTCCAAGCCTTGTCCATCTCTTCAAACACGACATCTATAGTAGGACGGCCTCTGCTGGATTTGGCAACACAAAGCACTGCTATTTGTAAAAGTGATTCGAAATCCACGCTGTTTGTACTTCCATTCAGCCTCGGATCTTCAAATTCTGTCAACGGTCTCTTCCCTATACTTACATCCTTTGCCTGCAATGCATTGCAATTTTCATTCTTTCATTACTATATGAATATACAATGTGTATTACTTGCACAAAATTCAGTTACATATTGCAGACTAGACTAGTAGTACCTTTCTTGTAAGTTGGTCTCTGGCATCAAGATCAAGCTCAATGACTTTTTGTCCAGATAGAAGTTGGAGAGCAACAATGCCAAAACTGTAGATATCACTGGCACAAGTGAGCTTTGCATTGCTCATGTATTCTGGGTCCATATACCCTATGGTTCCCCTCACATCTGTGAACACTTTGCTCTCCTCCATGCTCAACATCCTCGCTAACCCGAAATCAGATAGCTTTGGATCCAAGTTCTCACTCAATAGTATGTTTGTAAGCTATCATCATAACCACCGAAACCAACATCCCACATCGTCAATTAACAACCATATACTATTTACAAGTATTTATTAAAGTGTATAAGAACCTCAATTAATTAACAACCTTAATGTCTCTGTGAACAATGCATCCATCTATATAATGATGCAGATATCTGAGTGCAAGTGCACAGTCCCTTAGAATCTTTACTCTTCTTCCCCATGTTAGCACTGTATCTTTCCCTGAACATACATACAATTTGATCAAAGATTATCACAAAAATGGGTGAAAATGTTAGGCTTGTACTTTTGCTTCTTATTTTTTTTTTGGTTACCCGAAAAGGACAAAAAAAAGGGGACCTTTTTTTTTTTTTTTTTTTTTTATTGGCGAAAGTTAATTGTTAGATTAGCACCTATGGGAGGTAGCCTCCCTATCCTTGCAAAACATCAAGTGATTGTCTCCTAATTCAACTCTCCCTTAAGAAAGAAGAGTTAAACCAATGACCTTCCCTTGAGACTAGATCTCGTTGGGGAACAAGTTATTTTAGTAACTTTTTAATTTTTTGGCTAAAATATGAGTCAAAAAAACTTGTATATTTGGAATGACTTTTTGATTTTTTATGAAAAAAAATGTGTAAAAAATACAGAGAAAATGAAATTTTTGATTTTTTAGTATAAAAGTTATATACTCTTTGATTTTTTTAGTAACTTTTTCACTTTTAGACTAAAACTATTATTTTCCAAATAAGGCCTAAGTGAACAAATTAAATTAAAACACAGAAAGTTCATGCAAACTATACTTTGTGCGACATTTTGTGTTTTAATTATATGTGACTCGTATTTTTGATGAGGGAGATATACTTAGGAGGTGTTGAGCTAGATTTCCATTCGGACAAAATTCATAGACTAAGTACTGCTCGCCATCCTCGACGCAGCAACCAAATAGACAAACTAGGTTTTGATGCCGGACTTTTGAAAGGTTTTCGACTTCGCGCGTAAATGAATCGGACGTGTTGCTCCTATATATTTGCTTGATCGCCACTTCTTGTCCACTCGGTAAAATGCCTTTATAAACTTGCCCCGCGCTTCCTTGCCCTAGGAATACTTTTTCACTGCTAAAATTTAGCGCATTCTCAATCTCGGCCTTGGAGAATCGATAGAGACTGGACCAAGTTTTAATCTGTTTGGTTTGGAAAGATTTAGAATAATTTTTTTGATTCCTGGTGACACATTTGATCAGTATTACTACAAACATCATTCCAGTTATGGCTATGAAGAACGCTAATAGTGCTTGTGCCGTTGAAGCTGATTAAAAACAAAAAAACAAAACAAAACATCTGTGAGCAAAAATTGTTGCAAGAGGATAAATAAATAAACAAACAAATCATCAACATGACAAAATAATTTCATGTAAATTTAAAAAAAAAAAAAAATATATATATATATATATTTCCAGATGGACTTACTTTTGATTTTGATGAAACCAGGATCTGTGAAAAAAAACAAGAAGAAGTAAAAATCAGTAATTGAGTCAAAATCCGGAATATTATAATTAAGTTGGTATCTAACAAATCCAAACAAATTTCTTCAAAGCACAAGTATAACTATGAGGTCTGAACCATGTTTGGATACGAGGACTGGTTATAGTATACATGATTTGCACTTCAATGTTCTAAAACTATAGAGTTACAAAAATTAGCAGTTCAGAATCAATTACATTCAATAATAATATGGGTTCCGTGACCAAAAAACATTATAATTGACGATATTGTATGTAATTTAGGACAAATAACAAATAGTTGGTTGAGCTCTTACCCAAGGCTTCTAAAACTTCCAAACAACTATAGAAATCATCAACCGAGGAGGGATTCGGATCACCCAATATCCCAGCAGCAACAGAGGTAACACCTGCCATGACGCATATGGCTTTCTCAGTATTGTTTTTGTTTATTTGGAGTATAGTCAAAAGTTCATCCCTCAATAGTAGTATCGAAGCAGAGCAATTTTTGCAAGACTGAGAAAACGCCGAAGAGTTGAATTGACTACAATTTCCCAAGGCTTCTCCATATATCTGTAATTGCGAAATAGCAGACAAATTAAGTGTAGAACATTGACTACTTCCATAGAAGAGTTGATCAAAGCCACACGATAGCTCCCAAACAGACGGTTGTTGCAAAAAGGAATTGGTGCAATTAACCCATTGATTTTGGTCGATGAAGATGCTGTTGTTGTTGCCTTGATTGCTAAGTTTTGCTTGTCTGGCTAATGCCAGTGACAACTCGGTGAGGGGGTCTCGACAGCAAAGAGTTGTTCCGAAACTGTCCCAATAATTGATCTTTTTTTGGTGGCCGATGCATTCCCCGGTTGGTTGGTATGGAAATGTTGTGAAATTTAACTCACAACCTGGAGCTGCATCGATGGAAATTGGTTATCTATATGTATGAATGTTTCTGTTTTTTTTTTGTTTAATGAATGGTTATATGATTGTTACCTATTGCATTATATGCTATGTATGATTTCATGACATATCGGTCAATACAATTTGATATCACCCGTATCGTATACAGGGGCGGAAGGAAGAAGGGTCCACGGAGGTCAAGTGCCCCCTCGGTTTTGAAATTTTTTTTTTTGGGACAAACATAAAGAAAATATTTTAAATAAAAAAATTTATAAAAATATTATTTAAAGTGAAATGTCAATAATATTTTTAAAATTATAAGAACAATAATGATTGTTTGGATTGAAAATAAAGAGACTACGATATTATTATCTATGAAAATTCCAATATAATGGTGATATTTATCATTATTGACATACAAACATAATTAATCCCAATGAAAATATAAAATTTATTGAATTGTTAGTTATATTTGACATGTAGGGTTCATCCTCCATGTGTTTCTTTGCTATTGATTGGTAATATTACATGTCAATAATGACGTGGTTTGACTATTATAGTGAATTTTTACACATATTTTGTATAAAAAATTACTTTATCATTATATAATTTATTTTAAAACTTTATATCCATGACTTTTTTTAATATTGTTCATGATACACTAATTACAAATAACATTCACTTTGTTTGGTTTGAGTTTTCTAAAAACACTTTTCACAAAATTCTATTTTTTTGTTTTCCGTATTTTTTATTTTTACTGAATTTTTTTAATATTTTATACATTTTTTTTAATTTTTAGACATACCTAACATAAATACACTTAAAAAGTAAAATTTTTGCCAAAAAAATCTTTAAAGAATTCACTAAATACCAAAAATATGAAAAAAAAAAGATATAAAAAATAGTACATTTTTCGTATTTTTATGTATTTATTAATTTTTTAAAATATTTTTTCACAAATAATTTTTTTTTAGATACATTTAAGTAAGATGTATCTAAAAAAGTAAAAAAAATGTTTAAAATTTTAAAAATATTCACTAAAAACAAAAAAAAATATGAAAAATAAAAAAAAAACTCAATTTTCAAAACAATTAATTCAAAAAACTCAAATAAAAAACACTGATTATTTTTTTTAATCTTTCTTGAAGTCAATATCAAAAATTTATAAAAAATATTTTTATAAATATTTTTAATATTATAATTAATTTGTGCTCCCTCTAATTTAATTTTTTTGATTCCACCACTGATAGTATACTTACCGTTATTTAAAAGGGTAATGCTACGTATCATGAAATAAATATCATGAAAAACTTCATGAAATTAATCCAATGGTGAATGCATAACATATAATAAAACACTACAAACACTATAATCTAATCCAAGGGTGGAGAATCTTCATGAAAACTTTTCATGACATTGTTTTCATGATACCTAGCATTATTGATATTCTAATGTTGCTCCCTGATAATGGTAGTTAAATTTGAAAATAGTAGATTATAGAAAGATTCAGAGAACCCACCAATAAGTCAAAAAGTGCATTTTTTTAGGACATCTCAAACCAACCCTAAATTTTTTAAAAATTGAGTTTTTAAGTTTTAGTGTTTTTTTATTTTTAGTGAATATTTTTAAAATTTTAAACATTTTTTTATAATTTTTTTAAATGGACCTTACTTAGATGTATCTAAAAAGTAAAAAAAATGTGAAAAAATATTTTAAAAAATTAATAAATACATAAAAATACAAAAAATGTACTGAATTCTCGTTTTTTTTTTTATATATTTTTAGTATTTAGTGAATTTTTGAAAGGTTTTTTTCACAAATTTTTTACTTTTTAGGTATATCTATGTTAAGTATGTCTAAAAATTAAAAAAATTACTTAAAATATTAAAAAAATTCAGCAAAAAGAAAAAAATATAAAAAATAAGAAAGTAAAATTTTCTGAAAAATATTTTTGAAAAACTCTAACCAAGCAATTTTCCAAAATTTTTATATAGAAGCTCAAAGAATATTGTCATAGTGCTTTTTTGTAATTATATGAGACAAAATGAGGGGTTTTGTTTCAAAATAATAAGAATCGGATCTTATTATTTTTCGCATAATCTGAAGGGATCCCCTTCAGATTATATGCAAAATTTTATATAGGGCAAATTATATTAAACCCCCTCAAATTATCAACCATTAATATTTTACTTCCTTAATATTTTAAACCCAACAGTTATCCTCTTAAACTATTTGAATTTGAACATTAAGTCATTCTGTTAGATATTTGGATGAAAATTTGTCAAGTGTTGTGTACATAATGATCATATTAAAATTTAATGACCAAATTACCTTATTTTATCTTTTGTAAAAATTTAATATAATCATCTTGTGAACAACATTTGATAACTTTTAGCAAAAAATGAAATAGACAGAGAAAAAGAATTTACTTTATTTTTTTATATTTTCTCATGAAATCACTCCATCCAAACAAATTGTAGGAGAAAGTACCTGTAACCGAGATGGTGTGAACGAAAAATGATGTAAAGAACAAGAAGAATAGCTTGCCCACTGATATCAACCACTGATATCTTGTTTTCATTTCCGCTGCATATGCTTGCCCATAAATAAAAACATGAAGAAAGAGAGAGCACAAACAAATGAAAATGAAAAAAAATTCAATTCTCTCAGAGACAAGTGTGTGGATGATGAGATATATAAAGGAAAGGGTGTTCCTCAATTGGATCGACATCGAATGGATATTCTTAGTTTAATAGTATTTCCTTGTGTTGTTTTGTGGGCGTGACTTTTTGTAATATTTTTATAGACCCAACTATTAAACCTCGAAATTGCTGTTGTTTTTAGTGAGTAAAGTAATGTTTTGTTCGGTTCTTGGTTTAACAAGAAACAACCCATTCATTCACCCTTCATTCTTCTCCTCCTCATTTTTAATTCTTCTTATGCATATATAATAAAGATATATCTATTATATTTATACTTTTCACTTATCGTTAAATTATTTATTTAATCTCTAAATTATCGATTGGCTAGGGGGATTTATTGCTGATTATGGTGTCCCTCTTATGGTGCTTGTCTGGACTGCTATATCTTATGTATCCAAGTAATGATGTGTCCCAAAAGGAATACCAAGGCGGCTTTTCAGTCCAAATCCGTGGTCTCCTGGTGCATGCTCAGATTGGACTGTTATCAAGGTGCTTCATTTACTTCATCTTCCTAAGGAGAGCTTTTTACAATTTTTACTCTTTACTTTTGAAAATCATACTCTGTACTTGCACAGCAAATGTTGAGTGTGCCCCCACTGTATATTGTTGGAGCATTTATTCCAGGAACTATGATTGCGGTGCTTTATTACTTTGATCACAGTGTTGCATCTCAACTTGCCCAACAAAAGGAGTTCAATCTGAAGAAACCGGCTTCATATCATTATGACCTTCTTTTGGGCTTCTTGGTAAGAAGCTATATTGGCCATAGAACTGCAGTTTCTTCACCTTTTTTTTTATTTCTTCATTTTTTAATTAAATTTTATTCAATTCAAAGTTCACGCTAATAATTGAACTAGAGTTTTTTAGTCTTTGGTTATAGTGAATGCAGCTTTTCGTTTCCAGCCTGACTGTGTTTTCTAACGAATCCGGATCCTCGACCGCCCTACCCGGCAACCCCCCAAAACGACGTCGTTTTGGGGGTTTTTTGTTTTTGTTTTTTTTTTTTCTTTTCTTCTTCTTCGTTCTTGCTTTCTCTCTCTTCGAAACCAGAGGGGAGGGGAGAGGGAGAAGAGGGAGGAAGAAGGAGGGAAAGAGGGATATGGTAAACCATGAATAAATTTAGAATAATATTATATATATATATATTAATTGGTACTGACAGATGATATGACATAATTTTAGAGGTTTTGAATATTTGTAACTTGTATAATAAGTGAAATCATAATTTTAAAGTAATAATGTCGTAATATATATTGATATACTAATTGATATATCAATTGATGCATGTAACACCAACGATAAATTTAATATTAAATTTTTTTTAATGGTTTGAATCAACATTTAACATAATTGATTAATGTATTGAAAACTTTTCTTAAAATATTTTTATACTTTATGCTCTATTCTATGTACCTAGTATTATTTTGAGAGAAATTATTTGATTATTTTGAAATAATACTTTATATTATTTATCATTTTACACTTGTCATTATTTTTTAAAAATCTAACAAAAAATATTAAATTCACTACTTTAATCAATAAATATCAATCGGTGGTGCTACATGCACCCATTAGTGTACTAACTAATGTACCAACACTAGTTATGACATTATTATTGACCCTACTCATTAATCATATTACAAATACTAAAAACTTCTTAAATTATGCTACAGCATCAATTAATATACTAGTTAATATACTAATTAATACATATAACATTATTCAATATCGATAAGTTGAAAAGCTTTGTGTATTTGTCCCAATGTTTCCAAATAATTTTTTATTTGTTTTTCCAATTGGTAATCAGGAATGGGCAATCTGTCAATGTTTGGAAGGATTTGTGGTGTGGAACTAGTTCCTTTGAGGCTTCTGTGTTAGTGACTAATCCTCCCTCCCAGATCACTTTCTTAGAATGTGCTAATGTGAGAGAGTTGCTGGGAGAGGATGGTAACTGGGATGAGCCTCTTGTGAATTCCATGTTTCCACCTCACCTGTCTTATATTATCTTGCATATTGCCCCTCCAAGAAACCTGAGCAGGGATCTCCCTTTGTGGAAGGGGACTCCAGATGGGACTTTTTCTGTCTCTGCTGCTTATGAGGCTATTTTGAATACTAATAACATTGAAGAGGACTGGAACTGGTTGTGGAAACTCAGAATACCCCACAAACTTAAAGGTTTCTTGTGCATGGCAAGCTGCTCATTAACCATATGAGACTAAAAAGAAATTTAACTCAGGATGCTAAATGCCCCAGTTGTGCTAAGACTGAGGCCATTCAGCATCTGTTTAGAGATTGTTTTAAGGCCAAAGAAGTTTGGCTTGCTTTGTTCAATAGACAGTGGTATTTTGATATGAGAAGGAAAAGTTGGATGGAATGGTTCATGAGCAATGTGAAAAATAAAGCTCATTTTAATGCTGACCTCTCTTGGTATCTAGTGTTTATTGTAGCTTTGTGGAAGATCTGGAAAAACAGGAATTTGTTTGTGTTTGAAAGAAAAATCACTGGCTACCAAGAGAGTGTCAATTTCATTTTAGTCTATTCTAGAGAAATTCACATAGCTTTCTTTAATTCTGTTCCTGTCTCTAGACCAACTTACCAAATTGTCTCTTGGATTTACCCACCTGCAGGAAAACTGAAGCTCAACACTGATAGAAGTACGAAATTAGGAGGAGGTAGAGGCTTTGGAGGTCTGGTTAGGGATGAAAGAGGGGCATGGGTCTGTGGCTATTACGGCAGACTTCAACCAAGGACCAGCCTGGAAGCAAAGTTCTGGGCAGTATACAAGGGACTAACAGTAATCCTGTAACAAGGGTTAAATGATGTGATTATTGAGATGGATGCAACCCAAGTTGTGCAACTGATAGAGGAAGACATAGCTGAAAACTGCCATTTCAAGAGCCTTGTAAAGGATGCAAAATTTTTGCTCACAGGCTGCAACTGCACGATATAACATGTTTGGAAAGAAAGTAACCTGTGTGCTGACGCTCTTGACAAACTTGAAGCTGCCCAACCAGAGGATATGTTAGTGGTGCGAGAACCCCCAGCCAGGATCAAAAGTTTACTTGTTGCAAATATGTTAGGTCGTTCTTTGGAACGGACTTAGTCCTTTGTTTTTATTTCCAATGTAACTACACAAAAAAAACAGAGGATAATTTACTATTTTAAAATTTTCTTTCTTGAAAAAGACAAATGTGCATGCAAACTATGGGTAATTTGAAAATTTAGTAAAAAGTCAACTTTTTGATTTTTTAGCAAATTCTCCTAAAAAAGTCACAAAAAAAAAAATCAAAAAAATCAGTTTTTTTGCCAAAAAAAGCCAACAAAAAAAAAAAAATCAAAAAGCCAAATTTTTTTTTATCAATTTCTCAAAACATCCCCTATATTCCACAGGCGTGTTTGGCAATCGTAAATTTTATTTAGACATCATCAAATCTCTCAATTCACACTATCAAATCTCTCGATACACACCACTTTTGGGAATAATACCAAATTACCCGCTTCTCTGTCAAACCCTAAACCTAACCATCCACCGGCCGCTACCCCTCTCCAGCCGCCTCTCTTAACCATCGCATCCGCCACCATCACCTCTCCAGCCGCCGCCCTAACCCAACATCACCACACACCGCCACCATCAACTGCTGCTACCCCTCCCTAGCCCTCCTCCTCCTCCGGCGATTCTCTCTAGCCCCTCTTCGCCACCCATCTCTCTCTGCTGGTTATGACGATGTTGATCGGGCTGCGATGGTAATTGAAGAGGGTCGTGGTAGTGGTGGTTGGAGATGGCAGCCGGAGGTGGCGGAGGCTGGTGGTTAGGGTTTAGAAAATTGTCTAAAAAAGTAATTTGATTGTGGGGGCAAAATGGTAATAAAAAAAATAGAGTGACGGGAGTGTAGTGAGAGAGTATTGAAGGTGGGTATGCAAATAGGAATTTCCCTACGTTACAGGCCTTGTTTCCACACGATGTCTTATCCGAGTTTGAATTGAAGAGTGTTTTTTTTGTCTCATTATGATTCCTTCAAATTGTCTCTCTTCAACTACTACTACTCCTTGCTGCAATGAAAATCATCTTCTCCCCCTCCTCATCTACTTCCCAAGGTTTGCTTTCATTAATCACACCTCTCTCTCTCTCTCTCTCTATATATATATATATATCTATATCTATATCTATATCTATGTGTGTGTTCACACTTTATGATACGCTTAGCGCATTGCTTTATAATTTGGTTTGTGTTTGAAATTCGCATCGATTATGAAATTGTTTGTTTTATTGTGGAATAATAATTGAGTCCATCAATATAACTGTGACCGTTTGATAAATTGTTTGTTACTTGTGTTACTTTAAATTTTGTCAATTTTTTTTTGTTGTGTTCTAATCATATTATTGGTACCAATTTTTTATATTCTTAGCAGAGAAATTACTTTTTTCCATGAATTCTTGTCAAGCTCTAAGTTTTTGTAAATTTTGGCAAAAATGTTCTTACTCAGGGGGTTGGTTTGGGAAGTGGGTTTTGTTGTGACTTTTTAGTTAAAATATAAGGTGAAAAGAATGAAATGTTGGGGAATGACTTTTTGATTTTTTATAGAGAAAAGTGTAAAAAGGAGAGAGAATGAATATTTGACCTTTTTGTTTGGTTTTTTGAGTTTTTTTAAGTAGCTTTTTTGGCTTTTCAGCTATAATAGCCTATTGCCAAATGCAATAGTGTTGGCACTTGTACGGTTGCAAAGGAACCGAGTTATTTATGAACAAGCTCGGTTCGGCTCGGCTCGGCTCGGCTCGGCTCGGCTCGTTGCTCGGCTTGGTTCGTTTATCTTTATTAATTATATAATAAATATATTATTTATATATTAAATAATATATAAATAATAGTATAAATACATTATTTACATATTAAATAATATAAATAATATTTTTTATTTAAATAATATAAATAATTTTTTTAAAAAAATTATCGAGCCGAGCCGAGCTCGAGCCTAGTTTCTTATCGGGCCAAGCTCGAGCTCAATAAACGAGCTCAATAAGTAAACGAGCTGAGCTCGAGCTCAGCAAAGCTCGGCTTGGTTCATTTGCAGCCCTAGGCACTTGGCAGTGCACAAGCATATTATTCAGGTTTCACTCAAACAAATAGTAGAAGGAAAGTAAGAAGCACATAAAGCAAGGCAGAAGGGAAAATTTTGTAGCAAGTCCTATCCTACTTTTCCCATGATGGAAATTTCATGACAAAAGTACAGACTTAATTGATATTTTCCCCTGAAAGAAAGAAGGCTAATGCAGAAAGATTCATCATTATAGTAGTGGAGATTAGACCAGCAGACATTCTTCTAGGAAATGTAAATTCAATTTGATCAAATCAGATTAGGAATCTAAAACTGATAACTCTTAATTGTATCCTATGATTGATACCTTGAGTCAAATTGTGACAAGTGCTATGCAGAGTTGCTCTAAACTGTGTCTCTGAAAACACCGCCCTAAGAGTAGAGGGTCTTTCTCCACCTTGGGCACACTTATTTTTACAGTTAATTCCTTCATAGTTTTATGCTAAATGTCTTTTTCAATATGGTAATCTACCCTTTTGAATATAATGTCTTTGAGAATGAAATCATTAGATTTGTATAAGGAATTAGGTTGGGCGGAGAGGGAATTGGTATCTCCTATATGCAGTTTGTGAATGACAGAATTTTTCCTTCTTTATCGAAGGATTCTAAAATCTAAAATCTGAGTAGCATCCTAAAATTGTTTGACATTTGTTTGAGCCTAAGCTGAATATAATGAAGAGCATTTAATATGTTTGAAATGAGACTGAAAATCATTGTTATCTTCTTATAATTTGACTTTTGATATGGAGGTCCATTGAGATTATACATATGGATGACAAATCTTCTATTTGATTCTGAGGCAATTCAGACTGGGATGACTCAGTCTGTTTAAGCTCGCTTTTGGTTGAGTTTAAATTGAATTTAATATGAGATTGTTGGTTATTAAGCCCCACTTGTTTATTTTTTAGCTGAAGAATAAGAATAGTGAGGAAAAAAAGAAACAAAAAAAAGAAGGAATTACAATTCAATGTATTTTATAAAAAAATAATTACAAATACATTGTAAATCTTATAATTTTAATTATTAATATTCATAAAGTTTACCACTGATCTGTAATTATTTGTTTAAAACTACACTGATATATCTAAAATTCTCTCAGGTTGCATTTAGGAGTCAACAGATTAAATTATGGCACTTTCAGCACATTTAATCTACCTCTCTAATGATGGAAGCATCGGCTTGTGTGCCAAACGACAACTTACTTGTGAAAGGCTTCGCAGGAGAGTGGCTGATCCTTGTTGTGTGGTTAATGTGAAAATGCAACCCAATAGAAGAATTCCGAAATACTTCGGCTTGTTAAGATCTTATAGGATACCTTGTGGATTGGAATCAAAATATTCAAATCTTCTCTCATGTGGGTCGATGAAGATCTCTTCAGTTTGTGAGAATAGTACAAGTATACCAGAGGTAGCTTCTCAGATAAGCTATATTTGCTATTTGTTTTCCGGATGCAAACTTTCTTTTCTTGTTTTAGTTTTTCAAAAAAAGTTACTGTTCTTCCTTTTCGTTTCTTTTTTGGTTTTCTAGGAAAAGGGGATATTTGAATTTCAAATGGAAGTGATAATGAGTGTTCTCAAGAGCCAATTAATCAAAGTAGCTGTCGTAATGGCTTGTACATTCTTGGTCATTCCAGCAGCTGATGCTGTAGATGCTCTTAAGACTTGTTCTTGCTTACTGAAGGAGTGCAGGTATTTCATCCAGATTAATTAAATTGTTAATGGAACTGGTAACTGGTGTCTGATTACTTAACCAATGATTAAACAACTACAGTTTCCTATTCTTATCTCGAGAATAAGTATTAGAAAGGAACTTTGCTTGTACGCTTCAGTTGGCTTTACCAAGAAAATTGGTTCGACTCCCACGGCTAACTTTTACACTTTTTTTCGTTAAGCTTTAGCAAGAAATTTGGTTATCTTTACACTATGATCTTGGTTGCACGAAGTGGGGGTAGGGATGGGAGCAGGAGCGGGGGCAGGGGTAGAGGAGCGAGGGCATATTGAAGTTTCTTAGGTTGGAAGCGCCTATGGGAGCATGTACATATTTATTTATTAAATATATAAAGATATTCTAACAATTATTTTTTTGTTGCTTAGTTGTAATATATGTATTATTAAATATAAATAAATATTAGAGATTCATGTCAACTATAAATTGTCTTTATTAAGTATAAATAAATATTATATAAATAGAAACTACTAGTACAAGTTTAAGTTGTTTTTCTTTTGTTTTTATGAGATTTATATGTTTGAAAGGTTTCTATGTTAGTTAGGAGTGAGTTTCTTTCTTGACGGGAGCTAGTTTATTACAAATTTCTTGGAGCGCAGAATCGCATTTCTTAGTAAGGAACGCCACTCGAGTAGAAGGTTCATGCTACTAAGACTATGATACATTGGTTCTTGTAGAACTTGAATCAGAATTCATGACAACTATTTTCTTGGATGGTCATTGAAAAAAAGTTACAAATGTTTCTTGGGAAGAAAATTGTTGGGATGGTTCTCTCTAGGTTGTGTTTTTGTTGCATTATTTTCATGTATTTTCTCATTTTCCTCGTTTTTTAAACTTCTCTTTGTCTATCATTTAACTAGTAGTAGTAAGTCATAAATGACAGAGCTATTCATTTCCTGCAACATATGGCCATCTTATTTCAAAAGATATCCTTATCTGATTAAATGAGACTATTGATCTTCTTAGGGTGGAACTCGCCAAGTGCATTGCAAACCCGTCATGTGCAGCCAATGTTGCTTGTCTTCAGACCTGCAACAATCGACCTGATGAGACCGAATGCCAGGTTATTTCCACAAATTCTACCATTATGTCCTTGACACTCTGTGCTTGAAGGAAATTAAAACAATTTCTTTGCCCTTCTCTTTTTGCAGATTAAATGTGGGGATTTGTTTGAAAACAGTGTTGTTGATGAGTTCAATGAGTGTGCAGTCTCAAGGAAGAAATGTGTGCCCCAGAAATCTGATGTTGGCGAATTTCCTGTCCCTCATCCTAATGTTTTAGTTAGAAACTTTAACATGAAAGATTTCAGTGGGAAGTGGTTCATAACTAGTGGTTTAAACCCGACTTTTGATGCTTTTGATTGCCAACTGCATGAGTTCCATATGGAATCCAACAAACTTCTGGGGAACTTGACTTGGCGAATACGGACTCCAGACGGTGGCTTCTTTACGCGATCAGCTGTTCAGAGATTTGTGCAAGATCCTACCCAGCCTGCGATACTCTACAATCATGACAATGAATATCTCCATTACCAAGATGACTGGTATCTTTATTATGCCTTTTTGTATGCATTTATACATCCTTCCGTGTGTTTGCATTTATGGAATTTCTTTCTTTCTTTGTCTGTCACTTTTTTTATTTTTTTAGTCTTTTTCTTTGTGGTGCCTGCTCTAATACCATATTGAATTGTTAACTACCAACTCATCTAAGAGCTGTAGATTCTAGAGGCAGGGGTAACTTCGTATAATCTCAACAATCACAGTGACACTCTTTTCATTGTCAATTTTAATTGCAGTGAAAATAGAGGGATATATTGATGGCAGCGATTATGTTTACCAAACAAATTAATTTTTGAAGTTTCACCCTAAGAAACACTTCTCAACCCTTGTTCGACACACCTCCAAACATGTCCCACTAATTTTTGAATTTTTCTAGATTTGAACAAGTTTTAGACACTTGCAGAACATGTATATCACTTAGACATATATGAAATACGATGCATTTTGAATAAAATAATTTAAAATCTCACAATTATTTATTTTTTTGTAAATTTATATTTGTTCTTCTCTTTTAGAGTTTAAAAACTGGTGTTACATAGCATTTTTTGGTCTTTCAATTAAATAGCATATATGTGACATAATAAGTGTTTATCCTAATATATGACATATAAATAAATATGAAATTATATATTTTGTATCCTTCTTGTGTTGTGTCTTACATTTTTTTTGAAAATTTATGTGTGTGTGATATCCTGGCTTCCTAGATTTCTTCCAATTTTACACTTCAATAACAACATTCTAGGCGAGTTGAAACTTGACCTGACATTAATTTATTGTACTGATTGAGTTACCAAGTTTCCATGGTTATGTGGCTTTGTTTCTCATATATGTATTTGGGCTTAATTTTTGTACTCATGAAACTTTGAACCTTATCAATCTACAACTTAGTTAAATGATCTGTGCAGGTATATTTTGTCCTCCAAGATAGAGAATAAACCGGACGACTATGTATTTGTATATTATCGAGGCAGGAATGATGCATGGGATGGATACGGTGGCGCTGTTGTGTACACAAGAAGTGCAGTATTGCCCAACAGCATTGTACCCGAATTAGAAAAAGCAGCTCAAAGTGTAGGACGGGACTTCAGCAAGTTCATTAGAACTGACAATAGTTGTGGGCCGGAACCTCCCCTTGTGGAGAGACTGGAGAAGACCGTGGAGGAAGGAGAGAGAACAATCATAAGGGAGGTTGAGGAGATAGAAGGAGAGGTGGAGAAGACAGAGATGAACTTGTTTGGTAGGTTGCTGGAAGGATTTAAAGAGCTGCAACAAGATGAAGAGAACTTCCTGAGGGAGCTGAGTAAGGAAGAGATGGATATTTTGAGTGAGCTTAAAATGGAAGCGAGTGAGGTAGAGAAACTCTTTGGACAAGCACTGCCACTGAGGAAACTGAGATAGAATACAAGGTCCAAGAAAGAAAAAAGTAGGTGATGTTTCAATTTTTAAATTTTCATTAAAAGTTTGCAAAATTTATTAATTTATATTAGTATTTTTTTCACATGGTTTTTGACATACTAATCTTGCAAGTACATGTAATCATTTTGTCCTCACTTATCCACATAAACCCAAGTATATGCAATCTTCCTTCTCACACTTACTAGCTAGTTATAGAGCATATTGTCACGTCCCGCCAAATTACCTAGACATAATTGCCTACCAAGAGGAAGTCTCAATGAAGGGAGGCTAATGGAATATTCTGGAAGCTCCTGGAAGACTTGAGAAAATATGGGAATATGATACATAATTCTATAATGTACATGGAAGGATCTAAGAAAAGGTTCTAGAGTATTCGAGTGATATTAGAGGGATGGAAGCAATAGAAGCTTCTAGAACCTCCTAGAGAAATGGAAGTGGTAAAAGATCCTTGTACCTACTTCTAGAAAGAGGTAGATGTTTGTATAGATGTTTTTAGGGAGAATTCTAGAAGCTTGTTGTAGGATAAGGAAAGCTTCCATGAGAAGCTTCTTCATAGTCCTTTTCTTGTATGCTCAGGAATATTCTAGAAAAGACCTAAGATGCCTATAAATAGGAGAGGAGTTCATTTATTTCATCCATGATCCAAAAGTTGTAAAGCTTTTTCAAAGTTAATACAAAAGGCATTTTCTCAAACTTTCATTGTCTTCTTACTTGTATTTCTTGCAAATTTGTGAGTTAAGCTCACGCAACATCACCAAGTAACACTTGTGATTGTCTAAGTGCCGCACGGATAGCTTGGAAACAACCAAGGCTGTAACAATATACCCGCCTTAAGGGAAAGTGAAGAATGGTGGTGTATTCATAAACATGATAGATATTCGCTTCCCCTGTTGTCTCAACTCTATCATATGCTTATTCATCAATTTATGCAAAATTAATGGTTTCTATTGTAAATATCTATTAATGACAACACAGATAAACTGCATTGGTCTGCAATTGAAATTGCATAATCCATAAAGTTGCATCTCAACTTTCATACAATCCAAAGAGACACTACCAATTTGGCTAACATTCATTATGATTTCCCACGAAACCTTAGTAGGTAAAATCAACAAGAAAAGAACAAATCAATTTTTGTAGGACTAGTAAATTAGTAATCTCCTCTTCTCCTGCTGTTGACAAGATCACCAACAAATTTGTCGTCGTCATTGTCACATTGTTCCAAGTATACATTGTAAGCAAAATCATAAACAACAGCAATGTGCAAATACTTTGCAGCCTCAGCCTTGCGACCTTCCTTGTATAAAGCACGGAAAAAGCCAATTGATCCCCCATTCAATGTTAGCAAGGCAAAGGTGTACGTGTCTACGTGAAAAGACCAGTAATAGATCACTCTCAATTCATATCTCGCAAGCAGTATAAATGCATCATAGTAATGGGCTTTCCTCTTTGAATCCTTCGGCTCTTTCAAATTTGCGACTCTTTCTAGGTGTTTGATTCCCTCTACATGTCTCTCCTGCTATACAAATGATTGTATTAATACAACTTTAGTTCGAAAAACGTTTTTCACCTTTTAAAATTATAGGCTTGTTTTTTGTTGAGTCTTAGGCCTTGTTTGGTTTGAATTTAAGAAACATGTTTTGAGATAAAAAGTACGAAAATTTGTTTGATTTGGTTTTTTTTCAAAAGATGTTTTAAAAAATTATTTTGAGAGAGTTTTGAAAAAAGTGATTGATTTGATGTGTATGAGAGAGATATTTGTTTGGAAAATTTGTAAACCAAACAAGTTTTGAAAAAATTTTTTAGAAAAATTTGTTTGGTTTGATTACTTTTGAAAATTTATTTGTAGAGAATTTTTTTCAAAATTTTTTGAGAAACACAAACCAAACAAGGCCTTATTTTCTGTTGTACCATATGTCAGAAAATACAAAAAATATTTTCAATTCAAACAAATAGGGCATTAATGTTATGTTGTACAAGTATGACTAAACTTCACCTGACGTATATAGGCGACGCCTGCCCACTGAGAAGCAAAAATCAAGAGATCAGCCTCCTCAACTTCTGTTGGATGGCCAATGAGAAAAAGTTGGCAAAAATTATAGAAAGTCATTTGATTAGCGAGGGGGCAAATAATGCAAATTTTGAATGCTCCTAACCAAATCAAAAGGAGCCAGTGTACGTGATGGCACGCTCTACTCCAAGAAAGATTTAAGAGTAATATAACTGCAATTTACTAAAGAATTCAAAATTCAAACCTTGGAGATGGCACGCTCCAAGTATTCTGTAGCCTCTGCAAGCTGTCCACTTTGCAATAGTGTCTGTCCCATAACAATCAAGCCTCTCACATAATCGGGATCCTTTTCAAGTGCCAATCTGTAATATTAAATTACTTGCACATTACAACCACATAAGACAAAGCTATTTACCCTAGGAGGAAGACGGATGTTACCGTAGCAATGGAATTGCTCTATCTTTATGACCTTTAGCCAAGAGTGATAACTGTAAAAGTCCCATTTATTAAGATATAAGAAAATGGCTCTCTCTAATGCTCGCATTAAAAACACGAGGTTTATGTTCAGTGGACTCACAACAAGCAGTTCTTGAGCAGAAAGATTGTGCACACGAATTTTCCGCTCCTTTCTTAGCAGATCTGGTTGCATTTCTCCAGGTGTATCCATTTCTTCACAATTTGCAATAAGGACTGGAGCCGCCTTGTGAGGTAGCCCTAACTTCTCATGAACACTAGGATGGTTGAGAGAGAGTTGCTGCAAAAGTTGTTTGGCATGTTTTTAAAAACTATTTAAATGCTAAAGATGACCTAAACTCCTACTAACGGGCTTACACAGATGCAAATCCCAGAGACTGTACCATGAACCTTAAAAATTTCCAACTACTACATAAACAGAGTATTGTGTCAGAAAGAAAATCAATCAGCATGAAATGAAAGGCAAAGCAAAAATTTGTTGCCAACGTGATTCACTACTGCCCAAGAAATTTCAAATAATGTGTTAATATAGCACAACATGACAACAGGCCAAGGTTGGAACAAGGCAGGTTCATCGCTGCCCAACAATAGAAACTTATACCAACAATGAGAAAAGTTCACGTTGTACGTTACTCAGCTCTACATCTAAAGGGAGAGGAATTACGTTAGGCAGACAGCCAACACAATCTGCTTTCTTTTTTTTCCAAACCTTTGTCGTAATAGCTTTGGAAAATTCATCATGCTCCTATTCAGTCTTGTTCCCATTCCCACCCCATGCTGGCACTACATCTGAAAATGTATTTTTGCCCTTACAAAAAGCTGCCAAAGGTTAGTTCCAATGTGGTATGTCACTAGAGTTTCGAAGAAAAGGGACTAGAATTCTCCGAATAGTTGTCCTTTCAAGATATTTTTGAAATGAAGTTAAAGGCCAAAGGGTTACGGAGGGGTTTAGGATCGGTTTAGGCTTAATAGGGAAGCGTTTTGGAATAAAAAGTGATGAGCAACTCTAGAAAAGTGAGTGGGTATTAGGACATTCTTTGTACACTAGTGGTCACACACACACCTTGTTAAGACACAAAACACATTATAATTTTGAAAAAATAACTTAGAATTCAACGATAAAAGAAAAACAATATAAATATATACATATTAATCCTTGCTCGTTTAGATTTTGGGAATTAGTATCACGTTCCTTTGTTTTAAATGAAACACTCGTATATTGACATTAAAAATATATATAATTAAACATTTTTTGCACGCTGCACTTTTTAAAAATTATCATATCAACATGTCCATGTTATACTTCTAATCTCCAGATTGCATAGCCTTTCGGCCATTGATACATCGGTTTATCCACCTAATACATTTTTTAAAGTGGATGTCTCTTGGAAAATATCTCATTTCTTATTTAGGATATTTGCATCAAAAGGAACTTTTGATCTAATTGACAAATTCATCTTGGGAACACCGATCCAAATCAAACTCATCCTTGGGAATATCAGCACCAGAACACGCAATAAAACCTCCAGCACATTGTCAAATGTTTCCTCTATGGGGGTGTTTGTTTTGGAAAGATTGGATATAGGATTGGACTATTAGTTCGGATGGACAAATAGTCCGTTATTTGTTTCAAAAGTTTTGCTCCTGACTATTAGTCTCATATTTGTGGGACTCTACTATTTCATGGGAGAGAGGGTGGGATAGAAACTATGGGATAACTCATCCCATGGGATTAGCTTCTAAAATTATATTTTTGCCTTCTGGTATTTAATTATGTATTAGATTTAATAAAATTCAATAAAATTTAAATGTTTCAATTTAAAAAATAAAATAAAATAATTTTATTTAATTTTTATTTTTGTTTTATTTATTTAATTTTTTAAAATAATTTTTTATAGATATTTTATTGATGTTTTATTTTAAAATTTTGTTTATGTTTTATTTAATTTCATTATTTAAATTTAATACATGTTTTAATAGATGTTTTATTTAAACAATTAAATGTTTAATTTCAACAATAAATAATTTCATTTATTTAAATTATGTTTTATCTAAACATTTGTACATCAACATGTTTATTAAATTATTTCAACATCTGTACATCAACATGTATATTTATTTAACATCTATTAAATTATGTTTTAATACGTCAACATTTGATTACATCTACATTTGTTAATTGTTAATTACATCAACATTTGTTAATTGTTTAAACATAATCTATACATCAACATTTAAATTTTTTAAAAATAAATTTATTTAATTGTGCAAAAAATAAAATAAAATAAAATTTTATTTAATCTAGCTAAAAATAATTAAAATATTAAAGCTATGTTTAATATTGCTATTATTTAGTAAATAATTAAAAAAGATAAAATAATCATTTGAGCATTTATTCTTCTCTATAATATCCCAAACAAGACATCTAATCCCATGACTAAACAAGCATAAGATACAAATCCAATCCAACCAAATAGTCCGGGGACAATGTATCCCAAGACTAATAGTTCGATTAATTACAATCCCCTTTATCCAGTCTGTCCAAACAAACACACTCTATAGGTAATAAACAAAGAGCAAGGTCTAACCTGACTGAGAGTCAACGAACTAT